GAATCAAGGCTCCTCCTGAGTGAAGTATGTATGAAGTATATAGTATATAGTTCTAACATATAGAGTACGATAGGATCTCTCGCAGATCTTTCACGAACAAAAAAATACCTTTGCGAACTCGAGAAAAAACTTTTACGAACAGCTTGAAGAGGCTCTCATTGACATAGGCCTTATGTCGACCTTTCTGAATTGATATCCAATTCAGAAACCGGGTCACTGTGTCCGCCCTTGTCTCCCTTCTTGTTTCCCTTTTTGTTGGTCATTGTGTCCGCCTTGTCTTTGTCTGCCTTCTTGTCTCCCTTCATTGTGTCGGCATGTCTCCCTTCTGTCTCCCTTTGTCTCCGGTCTTGTCTCCCTTCTGTTTCCTTTTGTCTCCCTCCTTGTTGGTCATTGTGTCGGCCTTGTCTTCCTTCTGTTGGAAATGAAACTAAAGTAGAAACACTAAAAAAGAAAATGTTGTTTGAATTCCAATGGCTTCACCGTGATAGGCAAGGGACGTTCTACGACAGTTCAAGGGTTTGCTGGTTTGCTTTCCTGGAGTCACACATCTTGATGGTCTTTCATCTTCAGGATGTGGAGAGGCAGATCTTTGACACTTGACCGACCAGCTTAGTTTGATGGATTCCTAACCTTTGTGTCGAACACCTGCTTGCTCAGAGACACTGTGGGCAACAAAAAAGCTGTGTGGAGTGCCAAAGAGCCAGTAATTCAAGCTTCAGCCATTCACCCACAAGACAAACGGCTTTTTGGAAATACTGTGATGAAAAAGCAACAGTGGCTTGTAGGACTAGACTGAATCATTAAGGACATTTGGCCTTCACGTGAACACAAACGAGGAGGTACAGTACATAGTTCAGTGCCTACGTAGACCAGTGCAATTTGCTTCTTGGGGGGATGCAAACCTTGGAAATTTTACGACACCTAGTCCGACTGATGTTGATGCCCGCCCCGAGATGGAAACTCACCTCGAGGGGTTGGGATGTTGTTGGACAGTTTCTTTGAGCACAATCGCAGCACTTTCGCAGCTTGATACTGGAAAGCACTGCTATTCAGTTGACTTCGCGTTTTTTCACACGCTTTACGCATGCACAACATGATGTTGATCAGTGCTCATTCTTTAGTGTCTACAAGGTATTCCGGAACATGTTCAAATGCGGACAGGGCAAAACTGCAAAACACATCTTTTTGGATCGTATGCTGCCACATGGCTTTATTGAGTGCTGCTAGTCTTTGCGACGAATGTTGAACTTGACTTTGTTGCTAGCTTTGTCTGCCGGGGCCAGCAAGAGTTACATCCACTACTCCTATCCAGGGAGGGATGGGCATCACTTTGTGCAGTGGTGATGTTGAATACCACTAGACAATGCACTTGGAGGATATTGTGGCATATGTACCCAATGCACTTGGAGGATATTGTGGCATATGTACGACCAGCTTGGAGTTAAAACTGTTTATTCGGGTCACCAGCTTTGTCCTGGCCTTATAATAAGAGTAGCAAGCATACTTGCTTTGGTGCTGGTGCGCAAATATGATCGACTTTGCTTCTGGTTACTCTTCTGTTTCTTCTTCTTCTTCTTCTTCGTCTTCTTCTTCGTCTTCTTCTTCTTCCTGCATGGCCTTGCATCACTTTCACTACTAGTTCTGCTTTGGTCTGAGTGCCAAGCAGTTCCGTGGCTGCTCCCTGCAAACTCTGAGTTAGGGAGTCTGTGAGCATTGTGAAGCCACTGAGCCTGAGGGACAGGGCTAGGCACACCTAGCCACCGAAGCTACTAGGAGCAAAGGGCATCGCAACGAACGGAGCAAGGACGCTACTAGAGGCGCTCCTGGCCTTACCACTAGGAACAAGGACACCATTAGGTGGAGACCTAGCCACCGAAGTACTCAGGTGGAAGTCACCATTTGCTACATGCAGCAGGGCGGCACACCACTCACCTTCTCCGGCGGCGCCAAATCGGTGACTCCTTAACCGTCCGCAGCAAAAACACGGCGATGGCCTCCAACCCAATAGGAATGGCCTCCAACCTACTAGCGATGGCCTCCAACCAAAGAGCGACGGCCTCCAACGGCAAGAAGTTGGAAGTTTCAGCTGATTGGATCTCTACAGCTGCAATTCAACAGGAACACTTGGCTGCCCGTTCCCCGAAAATGTAGCACTTCAAGTGCCTCAACACCGACAAGCAAGACGTTGTACTGTGACGTTGTCGTTTCACTGTACTTTACCTTGAAGGACATGTGCATATCTTGTGTGCCTTTGTTACTATGAACTATACATAAATATATACATATACAGTATATATATATATATCCTCAAGAGTGCTGATAGAAACCTCCCGCCTCAAGATCACCTCAAACATTTCTTCAACCGTCTCTGTATAGAATCTTGGCCAGGCGACCTCTCAGCAGATCATGGGTGGGCCCCAACCAGGTAGCAGCTGTGGCTGTGCCAGAGCCACCCATCGATGCCATCTGGCACGCACTTTTGTTTGACAAACATGTTTCTACCGTCCACCTCTAACTCTGCGAAGTCTCGCAAGTACTTCTTGCAGCTAGACACGCCACACCTCCGGACATGATACAGAGGCTGAATCTGGATCTTTCAGAGCGTGCAATTGACTGTAATTAGTAATGATTCAACATGTTGGAAAAACAAAAACAAATATATATATATATATATATTTGTTATCACATGGCATCTTGTTTGCAGTCTGGAGCATCACCTGATTCCATGATATGAGCTGCTTGCCAGGCGCTACTTGCTTTGCTTTCGGGACCAGTTGGCTGTCAGAAGAGACCGTGCGACACACTTACGACTGTTGGCTGCTTTGGAAACAAGAAAACCAGCATTTACTGAGTTTGCGGGATGCCCGCATCCTACATTACATCTCTTCAATTTGTTCCATGGGAGGTTTTGGTCGTTTCTCATGTCAGTTCGCCTTCACCATGCCCATTCCAGCTGCTGCTGCACCCTTTCCCATCATCATTTCCACAAATACCATGCTGCGCTACGGCGGGTCCGGCACACGGCCAGCAGTCCTCATCCCCAGCTAATACAACCTCTCTTGATCTGACAACAGCGGCAAATCGCAACTGCGCTGAAAAACAAATTCAAAGGTTGTTAGAGGCTTCTGGAAATATATAACCTCTTTGATCATTTCGTGAAACAACATGAGTTCACTACTACGGCAAGATTGGATTGCTACAGTAAATGGTCACGTTGGGCTCTGCATGAAGTGGGAACGAGGCGCACTTGTTCATGTTGGATGAGTCGAGACAAGTATGTCATCCGTCGTAGTTCAACTGAACAAAGATTGATTATCTTGAATGATGAGTACTTTGCATCGAACAAAAACCTCTAAACTTGCAAGATTCAACACTAGCACTGAAAAAAAACACGTCAAGGCCTAGTAGCCCCCCAAAGGCAATCCAGAGCTGGCGATCTACAATTCCGAAATGTATGTGTATAAATATATATATATATATACAATGGATATATATATATATATATACATATATACACATGATGCAAACATGGAGTCCATTTCTTGACAGCGAAACAGCTGAGCGCCAAGACGACGACCCAAAACTGCAGGTGCTAGTTCTCCAGATTCCTGGAAGGTCGTGCAAGTCTGCAAACTCCGCGTGATCCCAGCAACCTCTTGTTTCTGTCTCCAGATTCTGCAGTCCTTTTACACCCCAGATCCGGCTCTACCATAACTATTACTCCTGACACAATCACCCTTTGTATATAATATAATGGTTGAATACTTCAAAGAGATCGAAACAAAATGCACTTGGCACTGGTATTCCTCCGCATCCCCAAGCAGAAACAGTAACAGGCTCATGCTTTCCATCCACCCTTTCGCGTCTCACTCGCCCTGGATCTTCCTGGCCTGAACAGTTCTATCTGTAACACATTGCGGCAGCTCAACCGGGCTCTGGCAGTGGCAAGGCACGGGTCGAGAAAAGAAGAAAGTACACATCGAGAGATACAATATAGTTGTCTTTCTTTAGACTCACATTAACCTATCTGCATATGACACATGTACTGTACTTTGTGTATACAATTGCATGCATCCACTTGCCCATAAGCCCATGCACCCCTTGAAGTTGAGCATAACAAGCTGGAATGCAGCTTCCCACTGAGGCAGAAGGTTCTTTGCAGGAACCCAGGCGTCAACAAATCGTCAGACGAACCACAAGTTCTGGAACCGCATCAATCTCTTTCGTTTTAGTGAGCTCACGAGATCCAACTCTAACTCTACTCTACAAATGATCTACATATATGGCATATGGGTTGCTCTCTGATCAGAATTGCGAATCGACAAAGGCATTCTGCAAAGCAACGTGTGAAGAAATATTGTCCCATGCTTTTGACCCCTCACCCCACCAGTATGTCAATTCCAGACCTGAGACTGCTCCACGGGCGCATAGAGCGCCTAGTTGCGCTGTTAACTCACTGAGATTCTTGCTGTTTGCAAACTCAATCCTCAAAGAATTCAAAGGGCAATGCAAACAGCTGAGAATAGGTGCCATTCGCTCCCCCGCAACATGCAACTACATTGCGTGAGGATGGCATCAAAGGCAGGACCTGTTTTGTAAGTTGCTGGTTGTTGACTAGCTGTCCTGTCTGTAAAGCTCATACGATGTCCGGTCCTGCTTCTTGCTTGCACAAATGCACATCACTATTCTCCTCCGCTTCCACCATGTCAAACGCACCTTACGGATGATTGCCTTGGACCTGACTTCCACTCATCTTGAACCAATCAATTGCTGATTAGCTGGTTAGCAGGCAGATCAAGTGTCTTCTAAGCCCAGCTTTTGACGCAAAGATGAAGCCTCCTCAAATGAAAGTCTAATAAACTCTCCAGTTTCAAGCCTGAGCCGCCAAACTCCAGAGTATGGCAAGAGAGTTGCTGAAAAGCTTGTCTTAAACAAGCTAGGCAACTGCTAAATAAAGGTCGACTCTGAATTTGTTCTGCGGTGTCTGCAAGGTTCCGAGCTCAAACTTCCACCACATCATCCTTCGTGCTGTCATCTCCGTCAACATCCTCCTCGCCGTTGAGCTTGTTTTCCAGAGCATAGAGTGTGTACTCTGAGCTGCGAAACTCCGAACGATCTCGCGGTGCCTCAACAAAGGCTCGTTCTTGTTGCAGTATGTCTGTCATACTATGCAAAGCTAATATGGCAAAACTTTGTCGCTCGTCTTGCTAAACTCTGATAGTGCAGTCTCCAATCAATATCAGCTCTAAAGTACCTACTCGCCCAGAGCTATCAGACTGTGGCAAATCCGTTATCTCGTCAAGCCACCACCTTGTCCTCAACCCACATGACCCGTGGCCACTGGCTTACTCGGCCCAATTTAAGAATCGGCTCGATCTGTGCCACTTAGTTTAGCTCCAATTCTTTCGGACTTGTTCAGACCGAAGACTAAATCGGCTTGTGATTCTTCTTTTTAACTATTCTTCTCCTTCTTCTCCTTCTTCTCCTCCCTCTGCTTCTTCTCCATTTTCTCCTTCTTACTCTTGTCATCCTTCTTGTTCTTGTTTTTATGCTCGATGTTGCTGTGTTGCTACTTTGAGGGAGGGAGGGAGGGAGGGAGGGGAGGGAGGGAAGGAGGGAGGGGAGGGAGGGAGGGACGGACGGACGGACGCACGGACGGACAGGGAGGGACGGAGGGAGGGAGCAGAATGACCTTGGTTCGAAAAGAACGCGGATCACTGCTTGCGACAATGCCACCGCACCCCAAGATTCAGAGGAGAGTCAGGCGAGATGGTGAATTCCAAACATCTCTTTCAAGACAGTAGCAGGATGAGTGGCTTCTGCATCACACAATTTGGCAGCTAGGACAGCAAACATACACAGTGTGGCACATAGCGGTGTTGAATCATGAAGATCACAAATTATCACACTCTGGATGATCTAAACACACCGCACAGTGCAAGGTTTCGCATGTGCGTTGCCTGCGCATGTGGCGCAATCCAAGATTTGTTTGGAGAAAACCAAAGGCAAAAAAATGCAACTCAGAGGCCCTGGAAGCTCGCTTTCTTGCGGTCGATTCCCTCAAGCCGGAGGTCCTTGAGGCTATTGAAAGCTTGCTCGCGTGTTTCCTGTCGCCCCAAGCCGGAGAACGCAGTTGTGCTACAGACAAAAGCTTGCCGGATATTTGAAGAAATGAAAGCCATGTTCGAAATTGGTCAACAGCGGTAGCACTCAACAAATGATATGCAGTCCGACCCTGTCCCTCTTGGCTCCTGGAGGATAAACGCTTCAAAAACATCTCTGTCGGCCTGACAGACCGCGTGCCACCTGAATCGCTAAGCCGTGGTGGATTTCCCAAAAAGGCCAAGCAGACTGTGAATAGTGCATTGGTACACTAGCAACAGAATTCTCTGATCTGGTGTATGTTTTGTCGCGTCGAGAAGATGTTGCAAAGCAGGATATCCAAAATACAACCCCAACAAGATGTGAAACTAGATCGCATGCAAGCCACTGTTGATACGAGTGCCGAAAGTCTTGTCCATATTCACAACCATCTCAAGATCATCTGCTAAAAGGTTCATCGCTCGCATGACTGCATCAAGGTCATAGACAGAGAAAGCTTCCTAGGATCCAGAAGCAAAGTTTGTGAATGACAATAAAGCTTCTCAAAACAATGATCGTCAAGCTGAGTTTCCAAGCAGGCAACCATTTCTGCTTCTTTATCCTCAGACTCTTCTTGGATATAGGCGGCAATATCAGTCAAGACGCAAAAGACTTCCCTGGCTTGAGGAACACTTCCAAGGTTGAAGACCACAGAATCTCGGGAACTTCCCATGCCAGAAGTACACCCAATTGCGGCAGCTGTAAGCAGAATCATGAAGACCAACACCGACACCTCGGCAACTCTTAGCCTTCCCTGCGAGGGCCTTCAACCTGATCGGATGGCCTCCAACAACTAGCGATGGCCCCTAACCTTGGCTGTCTTGTAGTTTCATGTCACCAACCTACTAGCAATGGTCCCTCAACCTGCTTTCGATGGCCTCTAACCTAGGAGCGTTGACCTCTAACTTTGGCTGTCTTGCTGTTTCATGTCAACAACCTACTCGCGACGGCCCCTCAACCTGCTTTCGATGCCCTCTAACCTGAAGCGATGACCTCCAACCTACTTTGTTTACCCTGGACTCATAGGTCTATATTTACTTAGGCTGGCGTGTGGCCAACCGCCATCGAGTCAGTATGCAATATCTTGAGTGTGTCTGTCTTCATGCCAGTCCAGGGTGTACCCGAGGAGTGTCCCCCTGTGGCCCCGTCGAACAGGGGTTTGTCCAACGTTTCCACTGCCCAGAAACAGAGCAGCTCACAGCGAGCGTGGGAGGCTTACGCCAAAGTTATTTGCCAAGACTTGCTGAAATATTAAATTGAAGTAGGCAGCTAAGAGGTGACCACAGCAGTCCAAGCGTCCATTGGGACCTGCCGGAACCTTAATACCCTTTCCTCCCCTTTCCCTCCTTCTTTTCGCTCTTTGGGGCGTCCCTGGATGCAATACCCAGGTACACCCCTCTCCCTGGTGTGTCCTGGGAACACCTGCCCCCTCCCCCTTCTTCCCTTCTCTTGCTCTTTCTCTCTTTCTCTCTTTCTCTCTTTCTCTCTTTCTCTCTTTC